ACTGATTGAGAGGCAGTAGTTTCTTATGTTACTGAATGTTTGTCTACTGACTGAGAGGCAGTAGTTTCTTATGTTACTGAATGTTTGTCTACTGACTGAGAGGCAGTAGTTTCTTATGTTACTGAATGTTTGTCTACTGATTGAGAGACAGTAGCTTCTTATGTTACTGAATGTTTGTCTACTGATTGAGAGACAGTAGCTTATGTTACTGAATGTTTGTCTACTGACTGAGAGACAGTAGTTTCTTATGTTACTGAATGTTTGTCTACTGACTGAGAGACAGTAGCTTCTTATGTTACTGAATGTTTGTCTACTGATTGAGAGACAGTAGCTTCTTATGTTACTGAATGTTTGTCTACTGATTGAGAGACAGTAGCTTTCCATGTTACTGAATGTTTGTCTACTGTCTGAGAGACAGTAGCTTCTTATGTTACTAAATGTTTGTCTACTGATTGAGAGACAGTAGCTTTTCATGTTACTGAATGTTTGTCTACTGATTGAGAGACAGTAGCTTCCCATGTTACTGAATGTTTGTCTCTTGATTGAAAGACATTAGCGTCCAATGTTACTGAATGTTTGTCTACTGTCATACGTGATGTGCTTGTTAGTTATGTGTGTCTAAAAGCTGTTATTTTAGTAAATTGTTTTTCGAAAGTTGTTTATATCATGGTCTGATGGTTAAAGCGCTCGACTCGCAATCTGAGGGTCGCAAGTTCAAACCCCGTGCCACCGATCACGCTCGTCCTGTATGATTCCTTACTGAACTAGCTAGCCCTCAAGGTGTAAAAATAGCTGGCTTATAAACAATTATCGGCTGGCCCTCTAATTGGATGGGACTAAGATCGGAATGGGAGGGGGAAAATTTCGTCGGATGTGGTTTGTTTTGCTGTTGAGAAAGAATAATGAAGTATATAATCAACTATAAGCGGAGTTAATTATATTTTTCATTAGATCCCTACAGAAACAATGCCAGAAAATTTTCTACTTCAATTATAAATTATCACTGGCGCGTGCCTATATAAATAACCAACTTTATTGGCCGCTTCGAATTCGATATTAAATCTGTACCACACATTGTTAATCAAATTTTTCGTGAAATACCAGAAATGCCGACGTTCAACTTTCATGAGAATCGTACAGAAAAGATTTCTTTGTTCAACGAAAAGCGGTCCAAACTAACACGAAGTATTCGTCATATTCTGCAGTCTCAAGTAAAACGAGTGCCCTATTGTTCACGTGACCGCTTCGTGCTACGTTGTCTGTCGTTCTCCGACATCATAATAAATATGTCGTTCTTTAGCTCCAGAAACTATTATAAAGACCAGGCGTTAAACATGAGGATTTGGAATTCGACTTGCTCTTCGTTGCCACATTTTTAGCATGATTTAATAAGAACTTCTGCATAATTCCTTTCATCAGGACTTCGTTAGAGGATCGATTACACTACGCTATTAATATTCCATTTTATAACAATGGTCCAATAGCATTTTGAACTCGGATGTGGCGTCAGCGAGATTAATAAAGTTCGGGATTTATATATAAGAAATATTTATTGTCTCTAAGGGTTAAAATACATGAAGATCTGAACGTAATGCTTCATGCACACGACCTTTCACAACTTTCAGTGACATGGTGTAGAGAAACAATACCCGGTGTATAGAAACATTACCCGGTATATAGAAACAATATCCGGGGTATAGAAACATTACCCGGTATATATAGAAACATTACCGGTATAGAGAAACAATATCCGGTATAGAGAAACAATATCCGGTATATAGAAACAATACCGGGTATATAGAAACAATATCCGGTATATATAGAAACATTACCGGTATAGAGAAACAATATCCGGTATAGAGAAACAATATCCTTTATAGAGAAACATTACCGGGTATATATAGAAACATTACCGGTATAGAAAAAATTACCTGATAGAGAGACAATATCCGGTACAGAAATACATTACCTGGTATAGAGAAATAATACCCGGTATAAAGAAACAATTCCCGGTATAGAGAAATAATACCAGTAAAGAGAAACAATACCTGGTATAAAGAAACATTACTGGGTTTACTGTTCACTCACCAAGTCTTTTTGGCGGCTTCTTCTTTTGAGGCCCATGGCATACAGATGGAATGGTTGTCATTGGTTATCATGTTCCTGAGTAGGTGGTCGAGTGAATCCACTGGCAGCCCCATCATTATTTTATCCTCTGAAAGTGTTCTCGACAGGAATCCTGGGCTCCTCAGCAGGTAGAGTTTCCGGTGACAAATTCTTTACTTTATTTACATAGTTGGCCATCCTCCCACTAACATACTTACAAGGACGATCACGGTGGATGACCTATGGCTTGGATCACCTATTATTTTAGTACAATGTACTTCTAAACCTACTTAGTTGTTGAGTTTGTCCTTTCTTGTGACGAGGACTGCTCAACTATAATATGCCACCTTGATGAAATCCAGTCTTATCATCTTGATTCTTTTAGCACAATGTACTTCCAAACCGTTGTTGAGTCTGTCCTTTCTTGTGATGAGTACTGCTCAACTATAATATGCCACCTTGATGAAATCCAGTCTTATCATGATTACCATTTGGTTTTATCACAAGCTGGTTTACATCTTTCCTGGGTAAAGTCATTTACGACAACTTTATTCTTTACACCCACGAGTGTTCTTCCAACCACCAATTCCTCATGACATGCTGAAGTATTTGGTTCAGCTACACCCCATTCACCAGATTTATTGCTGATAGCTCCTTTTATAAGTATTTCACTTCTTGGTGGTAGAATGGCCACTGTCCTTGTTGTTACTGGAAGTTCAATCCTGGGTTTAGTAATTGTTACAAAGATTTCCTAGTCATATACTTGGAAGCTAGTTTAACCTCACAACCATGTCTCCACATGAAGTCATTTCTCAAGATGCATTCTCCTTCAATTTCAATCATCCACACATCACGAGTTATCCTACAGTAAGGATAACTTCCTTTTTGTTGTAACTTTATGTCCACCTGATGTTCACATTAGTCCCTCATATGCCTTCATATCTGAAGGCATTAATAAATTGGGTTGAACAGTTTTAGCTGTAGAACCATACCGAAAAGTTTTCCATCAATAAACCCATCAATTCCTGGATGATTTGTTTCAAATACTGAACTTCTTATTTCATTATATCTAGATGGAGTACTCCCAACTGAACTGAACCTCATAAATTCAGTCAGTTCCTGTCTTTGTTTTATGTCTGGTTAGCTCTTTGTTATTCCTTTTATTTGGCTGGGATCTGAAACACATCCTCAGTGTTGCCTCTTTGGCTTAATAACAGCTGTTTCTTACAGTATCGGCTGTAATGACCATATTTCCAACAGTTATAACATTTCCCTCTTTCTTGTATGATTTGAGAGGATCTCTACTGGTCTTAATCTATAGTTACCCTTAAAATAAATATTTTCTTGGTTGTTTTTTTTCTTTTCCCCCATTCTGCAGTGGTGAAAGTAAAACTGAACGATTCAGTATGGCATACCAGTAAGAATTATAATGTGGTATGTCGTACCAACAAGTAATTTTATCAAGTTCGTTTTATGTTTTGACTTATCATAACAGTTTTTATCGATATTGTTAGGTTTCGTGTTACATTGTTGTAAAAAAAAAAACATCGTGTCTCGGGCTCTACTCCCAGTCAGGTGGGATACATGCACGTGATTTGGGTACTATTTCTGATTCCATTTCAGCCTAAAATATTTTCAAATTAAATTTAAATGGACTACATATTGTTTTTTTATTAACTGATTAGCTGTTAGTATTAAAACTTGTATATTCAAATGCTGTAGCTTCGGTTCACATAAATCAGCAGTATTGATTTGTATAAAATGTGTGTGGGAGGGTAGGAGGTCAAACACTACTAGCGTGCTGGTAAGAAATTACAGTTACTTTCACCAAAAACAATTCCACTTCTGACACCAGTGATAGTAAGTATAGTTGTTCTTTCATTGATGGGTTCTTTTAAGTTATTCAATGAAAATAATTCAAAGTCCAGTTCATGTCACCATAATAAATTTATTTATTTCTTCCTTTACATTTTTACAAGCTCAAACATTGTGATAACTTGTGGGCCATGTATACAGCCAAGTTAACTGTACCACACTTACGCAAAAATGTATTACTTGAATAACGTCACAACTCATCAATCAAATAACTTGAAACAAAACAAGGAATGATTCACTGCTAGCTGAAACAAAAACATGATATGACTGATTCACTCTACTGACTGGAAACAACTGTCGAAACAAATATATTCTACGTTTTATACTGATCCTCCTATTTAAAAGATACTCGAATTTATGCCTACACCCTCTAGTTAACATCTAAGTTACAACATAAAATAATATAGCTTAAATAGTACCTACCACTTTACCGCGCTTTCGCTATATATATATGAATGTAAGGTCCCCTAATCTGGGGATCTCTTCAACTTCAAGCTATTCAACAGGTTAAAGCTTCCTGTGCTTCACAAAAAATAGGCTTAACAAAGAGAGAGAGAGAGAAAGCGTTGTACACTATACTTAGCTTGACAAGGTTTCTCAGGATACCTGTGATTTATTGTTCTTACGAACATTCTATACGCTTAATGTCGAGAAAAATTGTCTACAATCCACTACAAGTTTTTCTAATTTCCAGCAGAGATATTAATATAACTAGGAATGTAACTAACATGTTCAATATAGTCACCAAAAGTAGGGTTAGGACTTGTGACGTAGTTCATATTTTCATAGAGAAGCGTCTCTAGTGAGAGAAAGGCGCTTGGCGAAGGTATCGAACCCCCCTCTAATGTTGTTATTGTTAGGTTTCAGGAGAACGAGTGTCACGAAAAATTAATTCATTCCAATTAGGGTTAACTTGAAAGTGACGGCTGTTTCTCATCGAATGTCGAGTGATAAAACACTGATTAAAAAAGTATAACAGCTTAATCCACTTTAAAGCGTTAGGCTTAACAATAGTTGCATTTATGAAAATAACCCCGGACGTCAATCGGCCTTCCTGCGCTATTATGAAAATAGCTTTTTTTTCTTCTCTTTCATTTGAGAAATCATGAAACTCCTGCCTCTGTCTTTTCCATCAAACCCATTGTCACATCACTCAAAAACACAATAGCAACAACAACAAAAAAGTCCTGTTTTGTAACGGGACGTGACAACTTCATTGCATGTGTACTGTAGATCATATGTGAATTACTCCTCATATTTCAATAACTACATACTTTTAGAAACTCTGATATACTTACTACAACGGCATTTTCTCCTGCTTGTAGTAGACTTTTGACTAGAACTCAGAAACATTTGTTTGTAGTTAAGCACAAAGTTATTTAATGTGCTGTGTCCGGTTTCTAGTATTATAAGTCCGCAGGGGGACTTTCAAATTTTGTCTTCTGTCACAACGGAAACACATGAAACAGATATTGAAACTTAACTGAAATTCACGCATTTGAAAATGTTTTATTCGTTAAACAAAGTTTGATGAAACAAGTAATTATGTGAAAAATTTGGACGAGAAACACACGTCACCCCGGTAAATACATAGCAGAGCAAGAACTTGGCATCACGGAAATACGTGGAAAACCAAGAACACGCCACCTTGAGTGTGTGTGTATATATTTATATATGTATAATTTAAATATAATTCATCCTAACGTGAACGATCTGGCGCTACAGTTATGTATACATACTAGCGAACGCGTGGTCCCATGGCTCACATTTAGAGGGCCGCTATAATACAAATTTAATGCTTGAACTACTATTTAGCACTTTTTGAGTTTCATGATCATTGTCGCTATAATGTCAATTTAATTTCTTTAACCAAGTTACGAACGGTAATTAGTAGGCTTACTTATTTACGTGATCAAATTTGCCAAATTTGAAATTGGCTTTCGAGGAACCGCCGTAAAAGTGTTTCCACGAAATATCCGGCTTCTCTAAGGAGTTGAAAAAAATTTACCTTTGTGCAGACCTAGGACCGAGACGATTCTATTGGTGAGATCTTATTATATATAGATATATATTATAAATATGATTAGCCCTAACGTGAAAGAGGAAATACAAATCAACATGTCATACTTTAAACTTGTAACAGTTTTACAGTGTATAGATAGATCTTATTTTTAATCATTTGAGAAAGATCAACAAATCATTGAAAGTCCTCTCCACACCAAAGGCGAGGGTGAATTTTCATAACCCAATATTTCGTATGAATTCCCTTTATAATACAGTTAAATATCAACTTTTCCTTAAAGTTTTGTGGCTGTGATCTGACTTAAGATATAAAAATATTCTAATCAATAAAGTTTTAACCCTACCGACGAGGTACAGTTACATCTTCTTGAAAAATCAAACTTGCAGGTGATTCTTATATATATACAAGCATTAAGAAAAAAATATCACTCCATCAAAAATCTATGTAGGGCTGACTACTGAATTTGACAAAAGAAACCAAACAAGATAGGGCTTGAAGTGGACATATCACACTTGATCCGGCTAGTGATCATATAGCTGTCTTGACTTTAGATGGAGAATAAAATCCCTACATTACTGGCTTCCCCACTTTGTCTATCGAAAGCTTGGTGTTTGAATGAAATTTCAGTTTTCATCATTATACTTTCTTTTAGTTAACTTTAGTATTGTTGCGTCAGCGAGGTCACGTGACTAGTATCACGCCACCTCCTTCTAGAAATATCCTGTTCCTTCGTGAATTGTCGAGAGACTACTAGATTGGGAGTAGTCTGGTATATATAAGACAGTCACAACGTGACGGAACAATGTGTAATTGAACTGAGTATTGTTGAAGTCGAGCACGTGAGACGTTTGTTGAGAATTATAGCGTTTGTTTTAGCGCGACTGTTGAAATTAAGTGTATCGCAAAGTTATATTCAGAAAGAATAAACCAGTTTTACTTAAGAAAGGACTTGTGTCGCTAAAGTTTCGTCGGAACAAAGTTACGGAAAATTAACTAACGAACGGAGACGTAACAGTATATTACTTTTAGAGCTATTTTACAATAGAGTAACATTTTACGATTGGAAATTCTGGTTCTATTTGTTTTGCCAGTGAAGAAGCCAGTAATATAGAGATTTTATTCTCCGTGGAAAGTCGAGACGACTTAGTCTGCTATGTGATCATCCTATCTTGTTTGTTCATTATTTCAAGTTCAGTAGGCATCTATATATAGCTTTTTTTTTTATTTAGCGACATATTTATTTTCCTGATATTTGTTTGTTTACTATATTATATGTCGTATGTGGGTTACTAGGTTATAGTGTGTTATTGAGCTTTATAAACTTTATATATAATAATGATAAAATAGGTAGTCAAATATTATGAAGACTGTTTTTCTCTATCAAATGATTTTAAAATTATAGTTACTGTTAGAACTAGGTAGGGGCTAGGCCTGTTGAAGAAAGATGGTGATGAATGAAAATATGAAATATCGGTTTGACTTTGGGCCGCTCTGGATAGCTGAAAAGCGGCATATACACCGGAGATAGAGCGACTATGTCAGGTAGCCCTTCATATGTAGCTTCTAGAGAGAAAAATCGAGATGACTTTTGTAATGGTTTAATACGGACGTCCGTGCCATCCCTACATAGAGCACTCACCGATTTAATGTAAACTAGATAAAACACCTCAACTTCTGTTAATCACCAGAATATGTTATGCTGTTTACCAAAACCCGTATTGGTCCCAAAACATCATGGTTTCAGCGTGATAACCTTTCACAGCTTGGCATTGGTCAAGATACATCATAATTATACTTTACAACTTGAGTATAATAGTGCTATACAGCCTGACTGTATTATTGTTGTACAGTTAATAATGTCAGTACTAACTGTATTAATAATGTACAGCCTGACTGTACCTTTATAATGATTAACTACTAATTTATTCACAGTCCATGTATACTTGATTTCAGTAACTCACCTGGACCACGTGGTGCCCTAGTTCTTCGTTCTAAGTCCTTGTCAGTAAAGGTCAAACCTTGCTGGCTGTTAAGAACTTGAGTCATGGCGACTGGAAAATTCAAATCGGCGTGATGAAAAGCAAAGATGCCGTCTTGACATCCGTAGAAAAGACTTAACTCCCGGGCCTCGTTCTCTTCCCGGGCCTGCTGGCGGCGGAGAGATACTTGGGCAGCCATAACTCGCTGTCTCTCGACAATTAAAGTACACTTGTCGCACGTACAGTCTCGCCACCGGCAGTAGTGTTTATGACCTCTTAAAGTGGACACCACACCATGATTCCTGCATCGAGCACACTTCGGTGTTCGATGGAAACGTTCGGCCGGTCGCATGATGACCGAGGTCACGGGATGAAGAGTGCTCAATGCCCCAGCAGTGACGGACGCCATCGAACTGGGAGTTCCTTCGAGACCGTACGTAATATCTATATCACACAGATTAATAGTGCTGTCGTGCAAGCGCGTTGAAAGATTCATCTTGGATGCTCACTATGAAATCGCCTTGCCATGTCGAAGCTTTTGAAGAACCTCCAGTTCACCCGGAACGCGCCCTCGTGGTCACTCAAACAACCAGTGACGATCAGCTGAGATCATGTAACCACGCCTCTTTTGTGAGCTGGTACTATCTGCTACTTTTTCTTTTACTGCTAATAACAGTAATTGGTTCAAACAGACACCTAGACGAGGGTTATAATAGTGAAGCAACAGATAAAACTTTCTAATTCTTGCTCTCATTCCTGGTGCTTAGGATTTTATACAAACGTAATGTACAACACGGAAAAAGTTGTGAAAAGGAACTTATTTCCATAAAAACAAATAACCTACCTACTTATAAGTGGCAAACTAAGGTTTTATCCCTCCCACACACATAATTTGTCACTTACTGATTTACAGTAGATTCAGCGTTTCAGTTACTCATAAAATTTCTCACTATGATGTTAACATTGCCGTGGTTTCACACACCGCGAGGTAAACAATGCAGTAGTTTATCACACTATGAGATCAACAATAGTGTTTTCTCACACCTTGACTTAAATACTACACTGGTTCCTCACACCATGACGTCAACTTTACACTGGTTCCTCACACCATGACTAATTTATTTGGAAGATCTAGTATTAACACTTTCTACGTGCTACTTTATTTGGAAGATCTAGTATTAACACTTTCTACGTGCTACTTTATTTGGAAGATCTAG